GCGCGAAATTCTCCTGGTCGATACGTATCTAAACCTTTTCGCATCCGCGTTCGCGCGTGCGCGAAATTCTCCTGGTCGATACGTATCTTTTTCTTTTCGCAGATTCGAATATTCCGATGGTTCCAAAACTATGAACAATGCCTAACGTCGAGATTACGGGAACACCGTTGTCCCATTTTACCGACAGCTCAGCTACAACAGTGAAGTGAAGCTTTTTTCAGCAGTCCCTATGATGTGGATGACTATCATTCTTTTACAATCGTTCGGTTCAGAAAAAAACTTATTCTTTCACAATTGCGACATAAGCTCGAGCCGAGGGTGGCGTGGTGAATGGATTGATACCAGTTGCCTAGAATTTTCTGAATGTCTAATCTGGGTCCGTTGCGCGATGGAGGGGGGGGGGCATCTGCTGACGTAATCGTTCGCTCTGCTGTCAACAAAAGAAAGCATGTTAGACCCTGTCGTATACACTGAGGCTCTTACACGTCTATCAAGGACCTGTCAAGAACTGTGATGTATTCTGAGAGAGATATCACCTATTTGCTGCACATACCTCATTTTTTCCCGTCAACATCTAGAAAAAGTTGGGCTATCGCATGATACGGGTTTCCTTTAGGGCCAAACCTAGGAGGGAGTGGGTAAGAACTGGAAAAATGAAAGTTACCCACACACGCTTACAGCCTCAGGGGTTGGTAAATAGGGTCTCCCATTTGCCAACCCCTAGGCTTCGTCCTGTTTCTATTATGTAGTTCGCAAAGTTCATGCGGGTGTCGAGATCACACATGTTTGAGATATTCTGGCAGAAAAAAAGCTTTCTGTTGATATCTGCAGTGCTCTATACCATTGACAAGCCTGTTAAATTCTCTTCCTTTCAGTGTCTTGAACTGGTATGACTTGTTATCTTGGGGTTTCTAGGTTTTAACTGAAGGTGTCAAGACAGTAGTTCAGCAAGTTTACTTCAATGGTGAAACGCAGATATAGCGCTGCGTAGACCTGTCGAAATAACGGAGAGGAGTGGGGCCAATAAATGGTCAGCAAAAGCGCAGCCCAACAGTGGTTCCACTTTTTTTCTCTTGGGGATTATCATCGTGTATTTTAGGGCGGTTTAGGGATAACGCAGCTGTTGACGACGAAGACGTGTAGAGGGCGATCTAGGACGAACTACACTTTAGCTAGCACTGGGACCAGTAGTAGCATATAATATTGCAGCTCTTAACGTTAACTGGAGAGCTGAAAAGGCTGAACAAGTGCTGACCTCATGCGCTGAATAAGAAGCAGCAATACCGTCTTTCTATGGTATTGTTCTCACCCATTTACGTAACAAAATCTACCAGCATTCGCAATTATTTGTCATCCACAACGGAAAGCGACTTTACGACCAGAAGAAGCTCCCTCTTCAATAGTTAGACCTTAGTCTTTGAAAGTTTCCCAAAGTCCAAATTGTACAAGGTTGAGATAAAGCTGTTCCCGGCGTAGCGCGCTACAAATCTTGGAAAGCTGATGGATTTCACTCAACACCAAAGTGTGCTATCATACTGACTAGGTGCTCTAAACAACAAGTTCGTTAATGGAGTGAAGCAACCCTCTTCTGTGATGACGCCTAGCCACGCGTTCCATGATCGGCCTAGCAAGGATTTAAGAAATTGGCATTCACACTTCGTACTCAATGGACATCTTCCACCAGTATCCACTTTTCCACCCATCTCGATGACTTCTTGACGAATAAGAAAGGGTTAAGAAATGGTTTAGAGATCAAAGCGGTGTCGAAATGATGTTCGAAGATTTGAACGCTTCCAGAAGCGCTGTTATAGACGTTGATGTAAAATCCGAGTGTGCACCTTGTTGAGAAAAATCACTCGTTTCCAATTGTTATTGCTTGAAGTAAAAATGTTGAATTTGAGCGGCTGTCAGAAAATAGAAACCCGCATCACTTTTCAAACAATTAATAACAAAAACCATCGTTTGACGGTTTTAAGTGAGTTGTCCCCGTATCTTGCTATAGCCGCTTGTTTCGTCAAAGCTGCAGACGATATTATGGTTTTTGCATTTGTAGTTGTACTATATATTGGTATTGGATATTTAATATATCAATTTGTTTATTTATGTTTCCACTATGAAATCTAACTTGACCGCTTTTCTTTTGATTGTGAACGATCTGAACGAGGAGTGAGGGCCGTTAGTGCAATAAATATAGTGAGAATATTTATTTCGGAACTTTCGCTCGGAATAATAGGTAGTCACAGGAGGAAGGTTCACTGAGCAAAATATTTGGAAAAAAAATAGAGAGGAATATTCAAACAAGGCAATTTGCTCATTTTCTATTTTATTCTATTTCTTGTGCTTCTCCAGTCATCTGCTTACAGTTGTGAGAAGAAAATTATGTGTTCACCCTTTGTGTCCTATAACTTGCCTGTTATTGTTTTCGAGATGTAGGTGCCACAGGCTCCATCTTTGTTATCATTATGGTGTTCAGAGGGGGTTTTGTGAAATTAGGTTTTTTTTCGCGAAATTGAAGGAAGCAAACGGTGTTAGAAAGCTGTCATAATTGGGACTTGATGGAGTATTTGAATTGAATTGTGTTTTATGGCGCTCCTTATGAGGCTCCAGTTTGCTCAAAGTACTTAAGTAATATTTTCTCGAAAGCCGTTAGAATTTTGTGTGTCACCTGCTCTCTCAATGGTGTGTTTCCAGGTACAATCAATTGGCACGTGAATGGACTCAGAAGTACGCGATGTGACCGTCGCTATGCTTGGACGTTTTGTAAAAAAGAACCTGTTCAATGTCTCCAATCCCAATTATGTCTTTTGTGTTTCGTTCCGCATGCTTTTCTTCTATCGTCCGGTTTCCGTACCGTAATCTATTTTTTCTCGGAAGCGTTTCAAGAGATAAATTTTTCCTACCATTAAATGTTTTGTACACTGTAATAGCGATGGTCACGTTTCCATAGTACACATTTTACCCCATGGTAGCAAGGTATAAGCGGTCATCAGTTTATTCGAATATTCTAGGCGGAGTGCTCATGTCGCACTCATCATTCGTGCCATTTTGTACATTTATTGACACAACATTTTGGGCGGAGTTAAACAGAAGAAAGTTACACGAGTGGCGCCTTGATGAGACTCCGCGCGAAGTCAGCGCACAATTCTCATTGTGTGAGTTCAACATCCTTACTATAGCAGTCTACGGCATGTGCTGCTGTGTGCTTTTGAAGGGCCCTCATCTCTTGGAGTTCATTTCCTGTGGTTTGCCTGTAACCACTGAATGAGAACTTTTTTTTTCACAGAGGTCTCATTAGTGCTGGACCGTTGTTCTTTGTTTCTTGTCTTCGAAGTGGTGATAAATACAGAGCCTGTTCACTAGGGTTACTGTTACCTAACAAAATGTGGGCAGTTTCTCGATAATCGCTGTCGTGGAGGGAGCGCATTTAGGAAGTTTGGTGAATGAAAGGCTGAGATACCAAT